ACTGGCGGCAGCCCGTAAATATACATGCAATATACAGACCATACAGATGACTACAATGAACCTCTCGGCAGTGTGCACCATGCTTGCTGCCACTGCTTAAGCTTTGTGATTTGAAGAGAAAATCTGCAGGAACGCTGCGGCTTTGAAGCAGCGAATTAATTACGAGTAGCGGGCAAGACATCTTCAAAGCAGACTCTCCTTTTAAGTGTTGCCTGTCACTGGCATGTCTGACGAATCTCGGAGTTTCTTGCCTTGAAAAAGATCTTGTCCTTTCAACATAGCCGCCCTACGCAAGATAGCGTTTAGATTTAGATCTTCGCCCATCTCACGCTGTTGCAGGCGAAAGCAAGAAGTCACGTGCTGATGGAGCGAGACTGCTTGCTCTCGATCTGGCAAATAAGGATGTAATTTGGGATCTCACTGGACTGTCCCCAAGGCATCGAATGAATTGGTCCCATGTCTGAAGCTGATGTCGCCTCTGCGCCTACGCAAAGGACCCACTGGCGATGGGAGCGTGCTGCGCGGGCACCGGCCCCGTCACCAGGTTACCGTCATGACCGGCAGCATGCAAGCGACAAGCGAGGCAAGAATAAAGGAAAACATCGCAGGAGCAAGATGCTCTTCTTCGGGGGGCAAATACTCTGCTTCCTTCTTCTTGAAGTACTGCATCCCGATTTCCTGAGCTGCGCATCCTCAAGGTCCGAACGTCCAAAATTCTGAAGCACATCTACGAATCTCGAATTATTTGCACAGTCTGAAGACAGTAGTATGCGTGTTGGTAGTACGCGCTTTCCCTGCGGTTCTCTCTCTGGGACCGCAACCATGGCAATGGAGACGTCTGGAGCACTCGCGGACACGCACTCCTCGGGTGCAAAGAGACTCTACAAGCAACGGCAAGCACAGTAAGCAACCAGTCGCCGTGTTGATCAGTACAGAGCGTGCCGATAAACACTGCGAGTCTGTCGAATCCTACAAGCCCTAAGCCCAAAACCTGACGTAATTCTGCCGCAATAGAGTTAGACGCTCGCGGAGCAGCATCAGAAGCTTATTGGAGAGACGACCCGAGTGCAAAAGCGGCAGCAGCAAACAAGACGTCTCTGATAACCTGTGAGAAGACGAGAATTCCACATAATTTTCGAAGCAGAGTGCAGTCAAGCGGGATCCAAGCAGGCAACGCAACGGCAGAGGCGAAGCAAGGCGTGGCAAGAGATCGGATCAGAGTTTGTTTTAGTTGGGTTTTCTACTCAGTTAAACGACAAGGTCAGGGCAACCATATTGCTGGACCTCACGCAATGTGGGTCTTGAGCAGTCAAGCTGCGCTTGAAACAAATTTGACGTGATACCCAACAAGAGCACAAGCGCGCGAGTGGACATGTCGGTGACAAATCACACAATGGATCCAGCTCTTAGAGAGGCGGCAGGACAGAACTCCTTTGTAAATTAGAAAGCTAACAGGTCGCGAGACTTTCGCGAGGCACCGCGCGGTCACTCAGCAGATTCTCTTTGGAAGCCTGCCAAAAGAATGCTTTTTTGTTTTGGACAGTACAACGTTTTTGTTAGCTTTCTTGCACAAGTGTTGTACTGTCCCAAAAAAACTTGTTTTTGTTGCCAAAATTGCTGTACTGTCCCCAAAAAAGAACCAAAAACAAACAATCTTTTCAGGTCCTGGGACTTCGTGGGCCAAAGGTGATGTGTTGGGTTTTTGTGGGATTCATTCCACATGAAATAGAGAAGCGAGCAGCTGTTCATTCGTGTCACAAAGCGTAATAAGCTCGACAGATTTTAGCTCTGATCGAATGTAATCGAGACTATAGTTCTGTTCGGAACCATCAATATTTAAAGCTGTGATGTTGGCAGATTGGCTCGTTGAGTTCTCGCCACTGAGAAGGGACTCAGGAGCCTTCTTGTGCTTCTTTGTCATGCACAGAGGATTGCGGATGAATGAAAACAACAAAACTATGCAGAAACAATCGAGGCTTCTAGTGTCGTTGTTAGTTGAGCAAGGCTGAAGTGCTTCTTCCAACTAGCGCGAAAGCAGAACCAGAGTCTGGTTTGGGTTTTGGGTGGTTTACTTACACATACCACTTTGTATAGGTGTATAACAATACTCGTATTAACATTCATGCTAATATGAATATGACTACTAGTTTCGTAGGAGTATTAATGGTATTAATCATTAATAGCAATAGTACTGAGAATCGCTTTCTTTTTTAGTCGAGATAGGGTGTTCAGCAGTGCGCGCCGTCTGCGACGTACCATACATACTGTCCACCTACCTCTCAGCAGACTTAACAACTCAGGCAGAAGGATGTGAGGATCCGGCAGTTGCCGCTGCCATGCGCCTTGCCAGCCACGGAAAGAGACAAGGTGCTCAGGGCCACGGCGCAACTCGAGGCGAGGCAGCGGCCGGGGGCGGCTGATCAGAGGCCCGCTGGTCGATCTAGGTTAGTCAGGTTTTGATTCGATGGCTTCAGGACTTGGGGCTTCATTAGATTCTGACCTCCGTGTCCCTGTGAACATGGCGTGCGAACCCTTTTTTTTGAGCCACGAGGTCGACGATGTCCGAAAAAGGAAAGATGGGCATGCGAAACTGGCGGCCGCCGAAGGCTCCTTCGCGTCGATGTCGACATCATCCGCGTCCTCACAAGCGGGTCAACTTTTCAGATGGGCGCAAACCAAAGCTTTCGGGTGTCGGTCTTGAGGCAGACCATGAGGTGTAAAGGCTTGGGGCCTGTGTTTCAGGAGAATCGAAAGAGTTTCGGTCGCTGATCGGGGCTCGTCTCACAGCTCAATTAGCGTGGATCCGAAAGTTCTGAGGATAATAGGGGCAATGTATCTTTTTGGCTGAAAGCTTTTCGAAGTCTTCAATTGTCTGCCTGTGGGAACTTCGGAGACTATGTTGGGCAAGAGCAAGTGGCGACGCCTTGAAATGACTGCCAATCGAGTTCATGTGCACATGCGCCGTGTTGCTTGTGAGACGAGTCTTGCGCTCAGAGAACAAAATAAAAAAAAGCTGGCAGACTGGCTATCACCGGTGTGTCTAAGTCGTCAGGACAACCATGGCTTGGACGTCTTTTCGGGCAAACTCTCTTCCAAACGCGATTGTGAACTTGGTTCAGCAAATCTCTTTTCAACGGCGTCTTCAACACCTGGCTGTTAACCCCCTTCTCGTGCTGCTGTGCCATTGCCGAGCTGCGTCCCGTGTGCCAGCATCATGCTGGTTCGTGGAAAAACTTATTGATGTAGAGATATTGAGAAAACTGCTCACAGTTCAAAGAGTGGCTGCCCCGAATTATGCAGTCTACTATTCGGGGGCGGCTGCACGAATTACTGCTGTAAGTATTGCAGCTAAGTACCACCATAGACTAAAGACTAAAGAAAGGAGTGATGGCGGACACGCCTCAACCTCAAGAGGATTGATGGAGGCAAACCCAAACCCCGCAAAACAAAACGAGTGGTGTGGGCAAGCCCACACTGGACTTCACAGCATGTACTCATGAAAAATAAGGAGTGGCGGATGCGACGCAATAATCGGAAAAGCTGTGATTGCAAATCGCTGCTCCAGGAAGCCATTCATGGCGCCGATGTCGCCAGCGGCGGCCGCATCAAATATCGAGGCCATGGCTGCAGTGAACGAAATCCCAAAATCCGTTGGAGGTGTCAAGCTAGATACCCTGAAACGACCTTGCTTGAAAGACCATGTTTCTCAATAAATCTCGGCCTGGAGAAGAGAAAAGGGAAGTAGAAAGCGGCGTTGCATCGGCTCCGAGATCGTACCTCCAAGCACCCTGCTGTCCTTTTCATTGCGCCGAAGCTCGGGGCTTTCCTCCGAGGGCATCGTTGGACCCGGCCGATACCGGTCCCGCTCTTCTGGCTCGCAGCGAAGGAAACCCCTTGAAGCGCCATCTCTCAGTCAGCCGCCTTCTCTTCATTTCCTCCCGGCCGGCTTCCTTCACCGGAGAGGCAACGGAAACAGGCAAGCAACAGGCATCCTGCGAATCACAGCTCCTGACATATGACATCATATGACCATCGGCATCCTGACAGTTGCATCGAATTAGCGATGTCAGCCGGTGGACTTTGGCACCATCGCTTGAAAGGTGACACAGAAGTCGCAACACAGCCATGCAAACACTCAGCGGGACATCCTAGGCCGTACCGAAACGCAGTGTCGCCTGAGAACCATAGATTGCCATAGCTGACACTTACAATGTTTTCTGTCTGATGCAAAAGGCTGCAGCAGCACCAAGTCTTTCTTGGTCTCACTGCACTCACTGCCCTCAGGTCATCTTGCCTCCTTGGCTGATATACCTGCGGGCAAGGCTCTAGTGATCCGAGGATGTCCAAAGTCTGGACTCGCGGGGCGCACAGAAGGATGCAGTCGCCCTGACGCAACTGGATCTTGGTAAAACGATCGTGCTGTAGGCCGACTCGCTTCAGCGGGAGAATGATTGGGCTGCTCCTGGGCAGGACCTCGGCAGCTTTGCCCGTGAATGCGCTGCCGGCTGCACCGCATGTAACCCGATGTACAGCACAGGCCAACAAGGGAACGGGCTTCGAAGCGAGACCCAAGGATGCGGTCTGCCTGCGGAACCACCTCAAACATCATCAGCAGCAGTATACCAGTACAGCACCCCCCACTTCCAGTGCCCGGAACACACAAAGGATCCCACGCCCTGTGCTTCTGCTCGCAGTCGAGTGCGGCTGACGGCGACATCGATCCCTGCATACCTGGACGCCACAGCTTCTACCGCAGCTTCAAGCTTGAGCTCGTGTGCTGCCCAAGCTGCTCTGTAGACATGTGCATCAGCTGGGGGCTGAAGAAATCCGGAATTTGCAACCTTCAGAGACGGCACTGCAGCACTCACAACACTGCGGGGCCTCGAATCCCTCGCGGCCTCTCCACACTCTGCGACTGGAAGGAATCGAGATCGTACCTGACAGTCGCGATCCAACCTTTGCCGCTTTAAAAGGGGGCCGCTGATGCGGGGGACCAGTCAAAGAGCTCCTGCTCGATTGGGCACTCCCGGTCCTCAGACTTCGCAGCGAAGTGCCTAATGAAGCGTAGACACAGTACGCGGTGTGCAACGCGGCTTCTCCTGCATTGGAAAAATCTCCAGCGGGCGCCAGCCGACCTTTGACTATATGCAGTGGCTAAACCTGCCCCTAGCGGCCCTCGGCGGCCCAAAAGCGGCTGCAGCAATGCGCCTTGTCGACATCCACCAGTCCCATGGCGTTGAAGAGGTTCACGGCAATCTGCAAGAGCGACGACCCTGGCCCTCTCTGGCCCTCTGGCCCTCTGGCCCTGCCTCGATGCGGTCGTTGACGCACACGGGCGTGATGTTCTGCGTGGCGGCCACGCGAGTTTCGTCGCCATGGAATCGGCAGATGTCCTGTGCGCATACTCTTTCCCGAAGGCCGTGAAGGCTGCGAGTGGTGCAGACTCCTCTTGAGAACGCAATTGCATCCAATTCCGTCCCTCTGCTCTCTGCCAAAGATGACTCCGGCCGCGAGATGTCGCTAGAAGCTTGCAGTTCATCAGTCCTTGTGGATCCAGAAGTTTCGAGACCTCCCCCTTGTATACGTGTCGAACTTGAAGGAGCACTGGCCGGCGGTTCAGAGTGCAATGCTGTCGGGAACTACTGGCCAACCACAAAACCGCACCTCAAACGGATCTTTCCTGTCCTGTGCGTGAGTGCAATGCTCTTCTCTCAACGTCGGCACGGGAGAAGTCCTCTGCTTTGGCCACATCGTTGTCTTCCTCTGCGAACTGGCCACTCCTCAGAGCGCTCAAGTTCCATCAGTTTGCACTCTTCGGGTGAGAGAGGCCGTTGCTTGTATGCGTAACCATACGAGACCTGACGAAGTCACAGGCAGGCTAAGCAACCCTCTAGGCTTGGCTGGCTGGGCTCCTGCCTTCGTGCAGTGGTTCACGTGATGGCTCGTCACTCTCGCGATCAAGATCCGATCGATGCGGATGCCTGCCTTCGACAGCGATTGCTGGTCTGACTCTGCCCACTGTAGAGCACAAGCGTGCTGGAATCGTGTATGCTTACAGCTCCGCAGCAATGCATGCAGAGTCCTGGGGCAGATACTTTCCCAAGCTGTCGTGTGCAAGCGTCTCATTCGAGTGCTCACTGGACTCAAGGTTCCGGGGAGGTAGCGAATCCGATGTTGCCTCTTTTGGGGGGTTGGCTTCTTGCTGGTCAATGCACTGGATGATTGAAAAAGGTGATTGAAAACGTTCGATCCGCGCAGGTGGTCATTACCCAGCACGACTGGCGTCTACGCGTTCAGTTCAACCGTTTCAACCGAAGAGGTTGGGGCAATAGAGGCTTTATGAGGCCTTGCTAGGCGAAAAGGTCCGCTAGCAGCGGCTGACGCTACTAGTTCCCCAGCTTTCCATGCTTGCTCATAGCATGTTTGCGGCCTCGGCGACGTGCACGGGAGACCAGTCCGTGCGAGCGTACTCCAAGTGGAGGGACTGGCCGTAATACCTGGGAAGGCCCAAGTGCCTTCTTTCATCCGTCGACACTACACCCTGAAACTTCAACAACAAAAGCGCGGCATCACGACACTGGGCAGGGGAGGGCAGTCTGAGGCTGTGCGCTGTTTGAAGCCTTTGTCGATCTTGGAGAAGACCTGCTCGGAGTGCCGGTGATGTGAGAATGCTTCTCGTCTCTGGAGCCTGGTCCAAGGTCTTGTAGTACACCACGAACCACAAGGGGCACACCTCGGGTGCAGCTTCAGAGCAGTTCTTCATTGGCGCGTGTGTGTGTGTTGCTGTGACTGGTTGTCGCTGTGTCAGTGTTGACCGTTCGCGCCTCGAAGCAGCGTATCAGAGCCCCTCCAAACAGGAAGGAGATGACCAAGGGCAGCATGCCAGCCTGACACTGCTGATAGAGCAGGGCCAGGAGGGGATGAAAGTTCAAAAAGGAACAGTTGGCCTCCATGAAGATCTGAGAGTTTTCGCCACCCTTGCAGATCTCAGGATCGCGGATCGCTGCTCGGTGGAGGAGGTGAGCCATCCTGCGCTGCTTCAAAAGAGAAGCCCACCGTTACTCGAGGTCATGGACAGAAGCACACAAGTACCCCAAAGCCCTTCCTCGACCTGCTGTTCTCCTGGGAGTTGGTCAGGTCCTCAACCTCCGCTGAAAGTCAGCTTCCCGTGTCACGCGCTCCCTTCGCTTGCCCTAGCGCCCTACAGCCCTATATAGCTTCCGTCTGAGTGGCACAATACCTGTGTTGCATGGACTCGTAGTCTTTCCGCCGGAGGCAAAGCTCCTGAAAGGGAGGCCGCAAATCCCCTGCACCTATCCCATCATATCCCATCACTGCCGTCTCTTCCATGTCCTTGGTGAGACTCTTCCGGTCGGTTACCCGCACCTGAGCAACGAAAGACGGCTGTGAGCGCTGCACACGAAGCGCACCCGCCAAGGCGCATCAATCGGCTGCGAGCTCGTTCCACCCATGGCCTCAGCTCAGAAAACCCTGCGGCGAGTAGCCTACGCGGCGCGAGTAGCCCGGCCGAAGGAGGCCTCCACCAGAGAAGCGGCTTGGCGCCGCGGGATGCTTGCGGAGGCGAGCTCCGAGCTGCGAGTCCCAGTTGTGGATCCCTCTTTTTGAGTGCTTGGGGCTGTGCGAGGACGGCTGTGAGCCGCTTTAGCCGCTAACCGATTATCGCGAACTGCTGCACCTCTGCACGAGCTCTGCAGTGTCGGACTTGAATAGCTCGAGTTGTGAAAGCTAGGACGGACCATGTAGTCAAGCTATGTTCGTGCCTGCGTGCGCTCTGAGCAAGGCCGCTGCATCACATCATCAGGATCAACGAGGACGAGCACCTACTTCTGACACAGAGCCCGAAAAACTGCAGGCCTTGCCGATGTTACCTTTCTCTTCTTTGGAATCGGACTCCGATCTTTGAGAAACGAAAGCGTCCCCTTAGAGGACACTTCTGCCCCTTTCAGTGTCCGAAGATCCGCTACTCCAGGTCTGGGACGTCTGGGAGCTTGGGGGAAACTGTGGGGTCTTGGTCAGGTCTTGCTTTCACAGGGCCGGCATCACTTCGGGCTCAGCAGCTGCACTGCTTGGTCGGTATTCCGTCGCACCTTGACGCTCCAATTCAAGACCCGAAGCAAACGACCTGCAAATTTTGGGAACCTCATCAGCAGCTCGGGAAATCTTGCTGACCTCGTCACAAGCACACAGGCACTCCAGCTCAAGAGACTTAGTTTGTGGCATGGCACGGCAAGCTCCGCCCATGAAGACGGACTGGAAATGTCCACTTAGGCGACCGCCTTTCGTTGGAGGAGGCCGTGGCTTTGCTTCAGGGCCTGCGAAATGATGAGTCCCTTTCCCTTGACAGCGCGAAGCCCGCGAGAGCAGAGCCCATGGCCGAAAAGCTCTGCCGCAGCTCCATCAGGCGCTTGGCTCTCGCTTCGGGCGAAGTGCCGCCCTGGCCCTGCATGCGAGAGGTGGGAGCGGCAGAAAAGGAGCAGGATTTTATGAGAGCACTCTGCCGCTGCCGCGGCGGTCACGCCTGCGACGCGGCCTTTGGCATGGCCTCCTTGCCGCCTCGGCCTCGGCAAGGCTCAGCTCCCGCCCCCCCGCTTCGACAGAGCTGCTGGGCTCTGTGCCCTGGTCCTCGGCGTCCTGCCGGCATTGGCACGGCTAGAACCGAACCTGCTACTCCTCATGAACCACGCCCGAAGTTTGGGGAGCGTGTTGTGGGCGTCGTCGACTCATTGTGTCCATCTCAGAGATGATGCATGTGTTCTTGAAAATGTCGTGGTGGCTCGCCCTTACCACAAACTGACAAAACAGAAGTATACCCTCCTAATGCACTGTAGGCGAGGCTCTGCAGCAAAATGGAGTTCCCAAATCCGGCTATTGGCACAGCCAAGGCCACATGTGACCTGTTATAACACATGCTACTTGTCACTAGTCACTAGACCATAACTCGTCGGCAACCGCATGCTCCCTCACAAGCGGAAGACACGGCTCATAATTCCCTAATTCATCATAGAAAAAACTGCCAATGAACCACCTAGCCATCCTTGGTGTCCTGTTCTCTGCCAGCCTCAAGCCACGCCAACTCCGGCGGCTCTTGGGCACTTGCTTTGTAGACGCGGGATGCCGTGCCTAACCAGAACTGCACTGCCCACATACTGACATCAATCCTGCCCTGGACACGCAGGCTCTTGGTGTCCCGCGGCAAAGGATTCGCTCAGTGAGGATGCGGCACGCCTGGGCATCCTGCTCGCAATATCAACCAT